TTCGTAGAAACGTAGGGGGCATTTACCGGGTCATAAATACATATATTATGCCGAGAAAATATAAAGAGCTTTTACATTATTCTTAGAACAATATATCATGAAATACGTCGACCAGCGGGAGTGTATTTTACTGAAATGGTTTCAAAACTCATTCGGCGACTCTCTTGTGTGCCCGAAATAATCACCGCATATTTGTGGGGCAAATATTTGAATTATTCGAGCTTCGTTAAGGTCGAAAAGCCACTTTTGCTCAAGATTAACTTTCGGATTTTAGGCAGCCAACCGCCCCACTGGCACCTGAGTTGTCTTAAGCAATTTAATTAAAACAAAGGCTTGTCCGACCTTTCGATGCGAATCAATACAGCCGGAAGTCAACAGACGAGTTAACATTTACACCCTGAAAACATCCGATATGAAATTGATAAAAACATAAATTGGTGATGAGATGGCAATCTTCTGAACTCGGCAGTTTGCCGGAATTATCCTTATTAATTAGAGCGCTTGAATAAAACGTTGTGGCAAAAGATGCTGCTAATAGGTGCAGGCAAAGAGTGGACAGACATCGCTAAACCAGCCAAAAATAAAATACAAACTTTTTTCATTAAGCTACTGAATCTTCCGTCGCAGGAAAGTAATCTGGAGAATTTTATGGACTAAACCTAATTTATCATGCTTGCTTTAAAATACTGCGGCAGCTATAAGTAAATTGCCGGGAAATCGTAAACCGGTGTAACGCGAAGAAGCAAACGAGCAAATTCCTAAAGTAATTTCATTAATGGATGAATTTATAGTACTTGGGGTTCTGATTTAATGCCGAATGATAACCATCAGGTTGGGGTCTTCAACAAATCATTTTAATTATATTTTTCCTTGCTGGGTTTCAGTCGAAATCATCAAATTTAAAATTCATACAAACTCATAATTGGGAAATATTAGATTCTTTTAGGTCTTTGCTGTCTTGAAACCTCAAATTTGTTCGATTTATTGTCTGCGCAGACAATAAATTATTCACAACGACGAAGGTGGCGAGTTTTCCAAATAATTGTTTAATAACTTTCGCTTGTTCTTGAGAAATTTGAGGCCGCAAAAGGTTTTTGACACATTTTTACAAAGCGGTTAAGGAGGCGAGTGTTTAGTGATAAAATTTATTTTATAATTTTTCACAGAAAATGCCCGAAGATTATCAGTATTTTTAAGTAAAACTAGAAAAAAATGCGTTTTTTGCGTAGAGAAAATTGCTTAAAAAAACTTTGCTAAAACTGGAGACCTGAAATTTTACAGAAACTTAAAAAATCTTCAAAGCCATGAGGGTGGCAAATTTTCCAATTAGTTTTTTGTAAACTTTTGCTCTCGTCTCTCTGGTCGTTTTTCAAGACAATCTTAATTACTTTCGGTAAAAAATAATTGAAATTATTTGGTTTTTGTGCCAAATGCGAACTTGAAAAGAGTTCTCTAAAATTCCCTGCAATGCGTTAAATGAGGTGAATTTTCTAACAAAATTAATTCAGTAATTTTTGGCTGAAAAAACCCCATGATTGTCAGAAAAGAAGAGAAGCATCAGAAAATAATGATTTTTTGGCGCTTTTGCTTAAAAACTTTTAGTTTTGTAATCGGTTTTTGAGAAAACCTTAGCGATTTTCGGAAAAAACGGAAGAAATTTATTGTCGTCCCGAATCCGACACTGAAAAAGTTTTTATAAAATTCCTAAAAAGCTATAAATTTATTTTGGAATTTTTCGTGTAAAAGACTTCCAGATTGTCAGTATTTTCAAGTGAAACTCTCATTGTTTTAACAAACTTTACAGTCTTCAGAGGAATGGGGGTGACGAGTTTTCCAAATAATGTATTATAAACTTTCGCTTATTCTGTTCGTTTTCTGATAAAAAAT